CAAATTTATACTGATAACGTAATGAAAAGATATGACAGGGAAGTAAAATATTCGTTTAAATTCAACTTCTAAAGTGGGATATTTTGATTTGTGGGGGTAAAAAAATCTACAGATCAATTTTCATTTAAAAAATACATCAGAAATCTCTAGACTAGGCAAATCTATGAAGATACAAAGATTAGTGATTGCTTAGAGCTGGGGCATAGTGGAGGAGAGTGGGGAGTGACAGCTAATGAATATGGGGTTTCTCTTTGGAGTGCTAAATGTATTCTAAGATTAGATTGTGGTGATAACTGCACAACTCTGTGAATTTACTAAAAACCAACGAACTGTACACTTTAAAAGGGTAAATTTGGGGGAACCCTGGATGGCTCAGCGGTTTAGTGCCTGCCTTTGGCCCAGGGCGTGTCCTGGAGTCCCGGGATCGAGTCCCACATCGGGCTCCCTGCCTGGAACCTGCCACTCTCTGCCTGTGTCTCTGCCTCTCTCTCTCTGTGTGTGTCTCTCATGAATAAATAAATAAAATCTTTAAAAATAAATAAATAAATAAATCTTAAAAAGGGTGAATTTTATGACATGTGAATTATATCTCAATAAATCTGTTATTAAAAAATACACCAGGAGACACCAAAAGCACAGGCAATAAAAGTGAAAAATAGATAAATTGAACTACATCAAAATTAAGATATTCTGTGCAAAGGACAAAATCAACAGAGTAAAAATGCAACCTACAGAATGGGAGAAAATATTTCTAAATCACTTATCTTTAAAGGGGTCAATATACAGAATATATAAAGAACTCCTACAGCTCAATAACAACAAAAAAATTAAAAATGTTCAAAGGACTTGAATAGACATTTCTACAATGATATACAAATGGCCAACAAGCATACAAAAAGATTAAAAATTACCTTACTTAATCATTAGGGAAATGCAAATCAAAACCACAATGAGATATCACCTCACACCCATTAGAACGGTAGCCATTAAAGGAAAAAACCAGAGTATCAAGTGTTGGCAAGGCGTGGAGAAATTAGAACCCTCGTACATTACTGGTAGGAATGTAAAATGGTGTAGCTGCTATGGAAAACAATATAGTGTTCCTCAAAAAATTAAAAATAGAATTACCATATGACCCAGCAATTCCACCTCGGGTATATATTCAAAAAGAAGTGAAAGCAGAGACTTGAACAGTTATTTGTACACCCACATTCATAGGAGCATCATTCCCAATAGCCAAAAGGTGGAAGCAACTCAGATGTCCCTCAACAGATAAGTGGTTGAAATGTAGTGTATGTATCTCAGTGTGTGTGTGTGTGTGTATAATGGAATATTACTCAGGTTTAAAATGGAATTTCTGACACACCCTACAACATGGATCAACCTTGAGGACATTATGCTAAAAAAACAAGCCAATCTTAGAAATGGGGATTTATTGTTTAATGGGTATAGTTTCAGTCTTGCAAGATAAACAAGTTCTAGATATTGGTTGCACAACAGTGTGAATGTACTCAACACTACTGAACTATACACTTAAAATGATTAAGAGGGTAAATTTTATTTATATGTATTTTACCACCTTTAAAAAACAAACTAAAAAAGGAATCAGGTAGTAACATATGCAGTAACACAAATGAATCTTAAATATGCTAAGTAAAAGAGGCAGTCACAAAGGCTACATATTGTATGATTCTGTTTATATGAAATGTCCAGAAGAGGGAGAAGGGAAGATGACTACTAAAGGTTAGGCTTCTTTTCGGAGTAGTGAAAACATTCTGGAATCACACAGTGGTGATGGTTGTACAACTTTGTGAATATACTAAAAACCACTGAATTTTAAGTCATGTGAGTTATATCTCAATACAAAAAACCAAGTGACTGCTGGAAAAAGGAAATACACCAGATCCCTGCTCTAGAATAATGTCATGAAAAGTATAAAATACTATTATTGGCATATAGACATAAGCCAGAATAGAATAAGTAGAAATGACCAGAAGACATCACAAAGTCGTACGGAGGACACACAATTTTGGAAATCCTAGTGAATGCAGAATCAGATTAGCTTATTTACTGGTCTATTTGAGAAGGAATAGATAAACAAGACTGAAGCAGAAGGAATTGTGGAAGAGAGGCTGAAAAAGAAGAACCCAGAAGTGAGGCCTGGCTCTGAAGGACTCTACCAGGCTAAGGAATTTGGACTTTTTCCCCCTGCAACTGCTATCTGAAATCACTATTTTCAAAAACATTAATTTCGCGGCAATATAACATTACTGAATTATACAAAATATAATGACTGAATTATACAAAAATGGAAAAATCTATAAGCTTAGAGACAGTGGTTGTCTTAGGAATAGGAGGGAAGGACAGTGTGAAAGTATAAGTAGATGAACGAGATATTAAATAAACAATTAATTGACAAGATTTATCACTTCTTTAAATATAAGGGGTAAAATAAAGCAGAAAAAGTTTAAACACAACTCAGATTTCCAGGAACACATTGCTATCTGCTGGAATAAAGCTGGAGTGGAGAAGTAAATGCTTTGGGGAATGAGAGGGGTGGGGATTGATAAAAGCTGGTCAAACACAGTGGCAATCCTTCAACTTTACTGGTATATTCCCTGACAAAGATTTCACTTTTACCAACTTTGAATACTGAGAAACAGCCCAACAAAGAGACATATCATTTACCTGTGATCACAAGCCTAAAGAAAAGTGGCAAATGGCAGCTTGGACATTCTCTGGCTACGTGTTGCAAGTGGCAGATAATAAATAAAAAGAGCTAAGACAGAAGTTTTTCTTCCCTATAGACTCCTGGATACAAAGTGGGAGATCATCAAGTTCGATGTTTTAAGTACAAATACAAATTAGAATGTTGAACAGTATTCCAACTGAGAATTACTGGCTTAAAGGATTTAAATTAAAATAAATCAATCAATGTTGGTCCTTGAAGCAAAATGACAAGTAAATATTTAAAATGTGCCATACAAGTTTATAGAGTCATTTATCAGTATTACTGCTGAAACTAGTAAATAGTCGAAACAACACATTATCTAATCCAGGGCAAAAAAATTTGCCGGGAAGAGTAAAACAGTGGCAATTTCATTCAGTTGATCAAAGTACAGAAATAACAGGTTAATAAAAATACCCAAGGGCTGTGAAAAGTCACTCATCTGTTTATAAGACTGCAATAAGCTCAGCAAATGTGTAAAACTCTTCAAATGTTGCACATTTTATCACCCAGAATTTTAGAAAAGCTAAGAAGGCACTGAGAAAACACCGTGATACACACATTGTCTTAAACATACAAATGACAAAGAAACTCCCCTTCAGTTACAAGGACTCACCTTTATTGTCAAGGAATACATAACCATCAAAGCGATCCCTGAACAAAATAATGTCCTCTTGGTTTTTAAAGTTGATGTATGCTCTGGCATACATATGAGGATACAGACTGCAGAGAGGAAAGCAATTATGTAAATGTGCTTGCAGGTGTCTGGCTGAATTACAAGTATGCATATATTAAAGAGACAGGTTCAAAAATCAAATGGAAAACAGTAGGATAAAAAAAGAAAGGAAGATAATTTTTCATTTACCCCCGCCCTCTTTTATTTATTCATTTTACCTAGTATCATTAGAAAAAAACTCAAAATAATCATGCTCCGGCATAGGCTGAAGATGTTCCTGAAGCTGCTCCTTGGTCAAAGTGGGAGGTAATCTCCGAATTACCACCTTAAGAAATGAATAAGGAAGATAAAATTAGTACAATCAATTTTGTCATACCTGAAAGAATCACCGTCCCTGAAAATAGACGGTCTTTACAAGACGGCTCACTTGTAAAAACCCAGTAAAAAATTATTCTAATGCTCAGAATTAATTAAACATAATAATAATGCTGTTTTTTATAAACTCTTAGGAGAACTGCACGGAGCAAGGAAAATCTTAGGTTCTGTTAAGCGGAAGCCCCGCAGTTTACTAGGTTTTCACATCATTTTCTAGCACCCATTTTTTCAATAGATGTATTAGCACGAAATTAGTAGACTAACCCTGGTCTTTCTGGGTGCCATGAACATTTGACTTATTCTCTCCCTAACACATCCGACACATCCTAAAACAAAATCCTTCTTCATTCAGCGTAAAGAATTCAAAACTCTAAAGAATACTAAAAGTTCCCTTATTGCTCCCCAAACAGAATGAAACTGACTTGGCTCCCCAACCATTAATCCCCCCACTCTCGCTCAAGTCGCCTCCATTAATACTCTATCAAACTACTCCCACTCCTGATGGCCCCTTTACTGTTTAATAATTCCCTCCCGATTAACCTTTTAATTCCTCATTCTCTTTACTATCGCTCCCCCTCTATCCTCTCACAACTCTGACCTAAACCTTCACGTCTGGGAATCGCCCCCTTTTCCCTCACTCGCACCCCGGAGATTGGCCGAGAGGGGCTCCCCCCATCTCGAGCGAATGGATGAAGACGGGGGACGCGATTTTCACTCAGGTGAAGAAGCAGAAGGGCAGACTGGGAGAGGAAGAGGGCAGCTCCATTCCCAACCATCCTCGCGGGTGGCGGACCCGTCCCGCCCTCTCCCGGGCCAACAGCCGGCCAGGCACCTTGCTCAGCGCCTCTTTCTTCTCTTTATTTCGATCCTGTTTATCGTCCCCTTTGGTGCTGTCCCCCGAAGCCCCACCGGCGCTGCCTGAGGCCCCCGGGGGAGTCAACAGGGTTACTCGCTTCTCTTTAGGCCTATGCTCCTTCTCCTCCTTCATGGCCACGGCTTCGCTCCGCACAGCGGCTGCCCGGCCTGAACGCCGCTACGCCGGGCACCTACGACGCCCAACCCACTCCCGTCGAGCTCCGCCCCCAACAAACGCCCCTAGTGATAAGCCAGGCCCCGCGTTCCATTGGGCCCCGCCAGGATCTCGCGAGACTTCAGGGCGTCAGGCTTCCTTTGATGGAAAGGTTTTAGCACCTGGTCTTTACTTCCCGCCTGCAGAATCTGCGCACCGCCCAATCCCCTCGCGGCCCATACTCCCTCGGGGCCTCTCATGTTACGTCAGTAGCCACTCCGCCATCTTGGCGAGAGCGACTCTCGCGAACTACAAGTCCCGGCGTACAAAGTAGTTAGCCGCTTCTGTTGGGGCGTTCTGGAGCCTTAGATCTCTCAGCGTCCGTTTGTAAGTAAGTGGAATCTTTACTCTTGAAAGTTTAGTGTTTTTCAGTTCAAAAGGTAAGTTCTGCCAAAAAAAAAAAGTAAGTTCTGTAGGCTTCGTCTTCCTCGGGTAACCCGATGTTACCCAAAGTTTACCTCAGTGGGGGAACGACTTGTATTCTCTTTCTTTCCTTTTAGACTCGTATTTTCTATTATTGACTTTAAAGTGCACTTTCGGAAACTGGAATTTCTTTTTCCCTGCATTGGTTAGGATTCACAGATACTTAATACCATTCACTGAAACTTAAAGGAGCAGTATGACCAAAATGTATGAGATTAGTTTTCCTTATCCTTCTTTTGAGCGAAAGGATTTTGTCGTGGTACTCACGCCTCACGGCGGGGGGAGAAAATAAAGTATTACTCAACTTGCATTAGAAGGATTTACTCTTTCTCCCCCGCTTTGAAGAAGACTAATTATTCATTTTTTTATAATAGCCCCAAACTGGAAACCATTCAGATGTCTCATCTGACGAATGGACAAAATGTGGTACATTCATAGAATGAAATAATACTCAGCGATAAAAATGAACTGGTATGTCTTTCAACGTGAATGATCTCAAAATAATTATGTCGAGTGAAAAAATCCAGACAGAAACAGGGTGCATTCTGTACAGTCTTCTGTGAGACTCTGGAGACGGTAAAACTATAGTAATAAAAGGCATATCAATGATTGCCTGGGTACAGGGGTGAGGAGAAGGGATTGACTGCAGAGAGACTCCAGAAAGCATTTTGGAGGCATGAAAATGCTCTTTGTCATGGTTTTAGTGGTGGTTGCATGACTGCACACATTTGTGTAAACTTGTTGAATTGTACACTTAAAATTGGTGAATGTTATTTTAAGTAAATTAAACTTCAGTAAAGTTCAGCCCCTCAAATTTAAAACAATGCAAAATTTGAATTATTTCCCTAAATGATAAAGTGCTTGTATTTCATGAAGTCAAAGGTATCATTGAATCTAAGACCACCATTATTTTACATACCAAGGAAGAGAAAAACACTGCCGATTGAACTATGACACACCATCAGTTTTAAGACCCATCCTGATTTTGAAGGTGTTGAAATATGAAAAACAAATGTCAGAATCAGTTGAATATATTATTTCTGTATTATGTGCAGTTAAGGAAAAAGGAAGAGAAATGGGAGAGAAGGGCAAATGATAAGCTAGAAAGACACCCACAAGGGGCAGAAATCAAGTTAAGGATGCAATAGAAGCCCAAGACGGGAAGCTGGCTCAGAGCCAAAGACCCATCTTTGCTGACATGTGGAATATATTACTCAGACTCTGTTCTTAAATTTTTCTCAACCTCTCTTGCCAAGTATATGCCTGATTCCTCTTGCCAAGACTGTTTCTCTGTATTTGAGATCTGTTACTCCTGTCTCCAGTATCTGCCTGTTCTTACAAGCCTAGCTTAAGTATCTGCCTCTATATTTACATATTGGTGTCTGCCTCTGTTTTGGAGTGCTGGCTAGCTTTTTTTTTTTAAGATTTGTTTTTTATATTTGAGGAGGGAGAGGGGCAGAGGACAAGGGAGAGAGAGGCTTAAGCACGGAGCCAGACGAGGGCCTCCATCTCACAACCCTGAGATCACAACCTGAGCCTAAACCAAGCATCAGACAGGCACTTAACTGGCTGAGCCACCCAGGCACCCTGGAGTGCTCTCTAGCTTTAAACCACCAGCTGTATGTCAGCTGTGAGAGTTGAGTGTTCCAGGGCTCAATCCTTAGACCTCTTTTCTATCTACACTCACTCCTTTGTTAATTTCATCCATTCTTTTGGCTTTTCTCTCTTCACTGCCAACTTCGAAATTTGTATCTCCAGCCCATACCTCTCCCCAGAATTCCAGACTCGTATCCAGCTGCCTGTTTGATATTTCCACATAGATGTCTAACATGTTCAGGTTCCCTAAACTCGTCCCAAACTGAACACTTGATCTTTCCCCACACTGACTATATTAGTTTCCTATTGCTGCTGTAACAAATTACCACAAATTTAGCAGGCTAAAATAATACACATTTATTATCTTCCAGTCCAACAGGGATCTCACTGGACTAAAATTGAGGATTGAGTTTCTTGCTTGGAGGCTCTAGGAGAGAATCTGGTCTTTGACCTTTTCAGAGTGTTAAGGCTGCTCATATTCCTCTTCTCAGGGCCCCTTCCTCCATCTTCAAAGCCAGCAACATGGCATCTCTCTCTGACCCTACTTTATCTACCTCCTTTTCACTCCCTCTTCTACTGACCCCTTCCACTTTATTTTTAGAGAGGGAGAAGAGGAGGGACAGATGGAGAGAATCTTAAACAGTATCCACACCCAGCACAAAGCCCAAGACGTGGGGCTCAATCTTAGGACCCTGAGATCAGGACCTGAGCTGAAACCAAGAGTCGGACACTTAACTGACTGACCCACCCAGGTGCCCCCTCCTTCCACTTTTAAGATCTCTGTGATTATATTGTTCTGAATAATCCAAAATACTCTCCCTATGTTAATGTCAGGTGATTAGCTACCTTAATTCCCTTTGCCACATATTTTATGTTAAACAAAATTCAGTTGAATAAATTTGAACATCTAATTGGTTTTGTTAGGGGATTCGTGAATTGGCAGCATCCCATCTAGCAACTAGAAAGTTGCTCAGAAGAGCTGTACAAAAGGAAGGTTTTTTAAATAGGAGGGCAGGGCAAGGAAGTTATTAGCAAAAGGAAAGAAATGATTGTTTGAAGCCCTGACTTTTTTCTTTTTTCTTTTCTTTTCTTTCTGAGAGGAAGGAAAGGTAGGGTGTTTATCATACAGATTATCTCACTAGTGCTGATCAGGAAATTTCAGCTGGACTGTTAAAAGGCCACATTCCTGGGATAGGTTGAACTAGAATTAAGTCTTGGTTTGCTGTTGTTGGTTTGTCTCAGGGTGATTCCTTTTGTTTTTTTTTGAACACATAACATAGTCACAGGTTCTAGGGATTAAGGTGTAGATAACTTTTGGGGGGGCATTATATTGTCTACCACACACTGTAAAGTTTCTTTTTAATTAACTTTTTAATTAAGGTATAATGCATAATACAAGTACACAAATAATAAACATACAACTTGATGAATTTTCACAAAGTGAACACACTCAAGTAACTAGCACTGAGAGCAAGAAATAATGTTTCTGGCAATCTAGAAGCTCCCTTTGTTTCCCTTCCAGGTCATTTCCTCTACCAAGAATACCACCATCCTGACTGCTAGCACCACCCATTAATTTTGCCTATTTAGAAGTTTATGTAAACTAAATTACATGGTGTGTATTCTTTATGTCTATCTTCTTTCTCTAAACATTTATTACTATGAGATTCATTTATATTCTCATGTGTAGCTTTAAATTGTTCGTTTTCATTGCTGTATAATATTCCATCCTATGAATCTATCACAGTATATCCATTTCACTATTTGGGGTACTGCTCTGAATATTCCAGGACATATCATTTGGTGATCAGATGTATGCATTTATATTGGATACATACCTGGCATTGGAATTGCTGGACCATAGAGTAAGCATATGTTCCACTATTTTTTTAAGATTTTATTTATTTTTTTTTTTGAGAGAGACAGAGAGACAGAGAGCGTGCACATGCACAAGTTGGGGAGGGGCAGAAGGAGAAGCAGACTCCCCACTGAGCAGGGAGCAGAACACAGGGCTCAATCTCAGGACTCTGGGATCATGACCTAAGCCAAAGGCAGATGCTTAACCCAACTGAGCCACCCAGGTGCCCCTGTTCCACTCTAATAGAGGAAAAATTTTACTTGACAAATTAACATTCCTCTACCTAGCCCAATAATGAAATTGGCATAAGACATATTTTTTTAAAGATTTTATTTATTTATTTGACACAGAGAAAGAATACAAGTAGGGGTGCAGCAGGCTCACCGCTGAGCAGGGAACCTGACATGGGACTCGATCCAAGGACCCTGGGACTATGACCTGAGCCAAAGACAGATGCTTAACTGACTGAGCCACTCAGGTGCCTCAACATAGGACAGATTAATAGGAGAAAAAAGCCAGAGTTTAATTACATGTGCACAGAGGCCTAATAATAAAATTGTGACCCAAAGAAATGACCAAGGCAGGTAGCTTTTTTACTTTTTTGGCAAACAAACCTGTGAGGAATTGACAGAACAAAGAAAACTTATGTTAGGGAGCTTCGATTAGTAAGGAATTCTAAACAGAATTTGGGCTAGGGCAGTACATTAGTAAAAGTAATAAGGCTTGTTTATACAACCTTCTTGGCTCTGAAGTCTCTATCTCTGGTGATAAGGATGTGTCTTTGCCTCCTGGTACAGGGATGGTGCCTTTCACATGGGAGATTTATGTGACAAAGGGAAGTCAGAATGTTACTTGCACTGACTCTTTTTTAAGTAATTTTATTTTTTTTTCTCTTAAGTAATAGTAATTCTATTTTTTTAAAAGATTTTATGTATTTATTCATGAGAGACACAGAGAGAGAGGCAGAAGTAATAGTAATTCTAAATAGTCACTATGCCAAAGTGATGCAGCCTACACTTGGCTTGCACACTGCCAAAGAGCTTTCTTTTTTTTTAATTTTTATTTATTTATGATAGTCACACACACACGGAGAGAGAGAGAGAGGCAGAGACATAGGCAGAGGGAGAAGCAGGCTCCATGCACCGGGAGCCCGATGTGGGATTCGATCTCGGGTCTCCAGGATCGCGCCCTGGGCCAAAGGCAGGCACCAAACCGCTGCGCCACCCAGGGATCCCGCCAAAGAGCTTTCTAATGTGTTTGTAACATCTTACATTCTTACTAGCCATGTGTGAGTCCCAGTTGCTTCACAGCCTTGCCAACACTGAATAAGCATATAGTGGAGGCCCATGGTAGTTTTACTTGGCATTTCTCTGATGATTAATGATGTTGCCCATCTTTTCATATGTTTATTTTTTCACTGTGTATCTTAGCCTTTTGGTTATTGTACCATGTTAATATATCATTTATTACAAAGCAAAAGAAAAAACAAAACCCAGGGGGAAGAGTGTGGTATAAGGCCTTTTCACCAGTTAAAGGGGAGAATAAAAGACCAAAAGAGGGGCACCTGGGTGAATCAATCGGTTAAGTGTCTGCCTTCAGCTCAGGTCCTGATCCCAGGGTCCTGGGAATTGACCCCTGCATCGGGCTCCCTGTTCGGCAGGGAGCCTGCTTCTCCCTCTCCCTTAGTCTGCTGCTTCCCATGCTTGTGCGCTTTCTCTCTCTCTCTCTCTCTCTCTCTCTCTCTCTCTCTGCACCCCTTGTTGGGTGCAGAAATTACTTCAAAAAAATTAAATCTTAAGCTCTCTCTGTCAAATATATAAATAAAAATCTTTTTTTTTTAAAAAAGAGAGAGTGAGAGGTATAGAACTCTCCCAAAGTTCCTTACATCATTGACCCTCACTGTTTCACTGTATAGTCTAAGATCCTTCCTATTTCCTGAGCTGGGCAATATCATGGTTAGGGTTGTCCCCTACCCCCCTTGCCCTGAAAAGCTGAAGGAAAATATCTATATACACACAGAAAAACTGTTTTTCTTCTGAAGATCTATGAAATTCTTCCCTGGTCTTCATTGAGCAGGCCATTTTTTTAATGTTGTTTTGTCCCTTTTATATTAACTCCTTTCACAAATAAAACTTGTGGGAATCGTGGGGCTGCTTGGTATTCAGCTTCACTCAGCATAATGGGAACCGTAAGACTAACATTGTTTCAAGATCCAAATGGCTTTCATTTAATCACTGTTGTACTTGTTGTTTGTAATTAATTCTTGACCCTGACCAGCTCTGAAATTACCCAAATCCCAAGAAGACAATTAGAAAAAGAGGTGGATAATTTTTAAAGTACAAAAAATTATTTTACACAAATACTTTTTACAATTTTAATGTTATCTATAAAGGAATGATAATAGTTCATTTTATATATTAGCCAAGTTAAAGGTATTTTTGAAGACTTTGGACTCCAACATAAAAAGGAGGCTTAAAAAGTATAATTATTTGAAGTACCTTACCATCACTAAAGGATTATAACAAAAGATGTTAACCAGCCCTTCACCATGTATGCTGATGACATGAAACAAGAGGTAATAGAAGATATGACATAAAGAATTCACTTTCAGGGCACCTGGGTGGTGCAGTTGGTTAAGTGACCAAATGGGCAGTGTCCCAAAAACAAAAACAAAGCTTTCAGTGTTAAAATACCTCATAGTTCACATTTTGTCTTTTTTTTTTTTTTGAAGATTTATTTGAGAGAGCAAGCAAGCATGTGTGTGAGCAGGGGGAAGGGTAGAGAGAAAATCCCAAGCAGAGTCCCTGCTGAATGAGAAGCTAGGCTCAATCTCACAACCCTGAGAACATGACCTGAGCCAAAATCAAGAGTCAGATGCTTAAATGACTGAACCACCTAGGTGCCTCCCACATTTTGTCTTTATGGACATTAGAGACCCTTTGCCTTTTGGTTCCTTTAAATACTGTTTAGATACTCATATGAGTATGTAATGAATAATGGTGAGTTTAAACATGAAATCATTTAGAGGCATCAGCTAAGAACAGAGAATTCAAAATAGAAAAGATTTATCTTGATGATGTGAAGATGAATATTTTATTTTTTTTAGAGAAGGAGAGAGGGGAGGGGGAGAGGGAGAGGGAAAATCTTAAGCAGGCTCCATACCTCATATGGAGCCCAGTGCAGGGCTTGATCTCACAACCTGTGATCATGACCTGAGCTGAAATCAAGAGTTGGATGCTTAACTGAGTCACCCAGACACTCCCCAAGATGAATACTGTAAAATTAGTCTTTCTGGGGTGCCTGGCTAGCTCAGTTGATAGAGCATGTGACTGTTGATCTCAGGATTGTGACTTCAAGCCCCTCGTTGGGTGCAGAAATTACTTCAAAAAATTTTTTTAAAGTTAGTCCTTCTGGGGCATCTGAGTGGCTCCATTGGTTAAGTGTCTGCCTTCAGCTCAGGCCATGATCTCGGGGTCCTGGGATCAAGCCCCACATTGGGTTCTCTATTCCACGGGGAGTCTGCTTCTCCCTCTGCATCTACCCTCCACTCATGCTCTCTCTCTCAAATAAATAAATAAAATCTTTTTTAAAAAGTCTGCTACTGTTGGAGAAGAAAAGTTTTCCTTTGTTCTTCAAGACTCTAGCTGGTCTAAAAATTAAATTGACATGAGAGGGACACCTGGGTGGCTCAGCGGTTGAGCCTTGGGCTCAGGTTGTGATCCTGGGGTCGCAGGATAGTCCTACATTGGGCTCCCTGCATGGAGCCTGCTTCTCCCTCTGCCTGTGTCTTTGCCTCTCTCTTTCTCTGTGTCTCATGAATAAATAAATAAAATCTTTTTTAAAAATTGACATGAGAGGGCAGCCCCGGTGGTGCAGTGGTTTAGTGCCGCCTGCAACCCAGGGCGTGATCCTGCAGACCCTGGATTGAGTCCCACGTCAGGCTCCTGCATGGAGCCTGCTTCTTCCTCTGCCTGTGTCTCTGCCTCTCTCTGTGTGTCTCTCTCTGAATAAATAAATAAAATCTTAAAAAAATAATAAAAAGTAAAAATTGACATGAGAGACTAACAGGAGAAAAAAACAGTTTAATTACATATGCACAGAGGTCCAATACTGAAATTGAGACCTAAAGAAATGACCAAGCCAGGCAGTTTTTGATACTTTTTAGACAATGAGATAATACATCTATGAAGAATTGACAGGCCAAAGAAAACTTATGTTTAGGAGCTTCAATTAGTAAGGAATTCTAAACAGAATTTGGGCTGGGGCAGTCAATTAGTAAAAGTATAAGGTTTGTTTATACAGCCTTCTTGGCTCTGAATTCTCTCTCTGGTGATAAGGATGCCTATTTACCTCCTGGTACACAGAGGGTGTACCTTTCACATGGGAGATTTATTTCCTGCATTCTGGAGACAAAGTTGGGGGGTGGTATCAGAGTATTCTTGCACTGGCTATTTCTTAAGGTTTTTTAAAGATTTCATTTATTTATTTGAGAGAGAGCATGAGTATGGGGAAAGACAGAGAGGGAGAAGCAGGCTCCCCACTGGGCAGTGAGCCCGATGTGGGGCTTGATCCCAGGACCCTGAGCCAAAGACAGTCACTTAACCAACTGAGCCATCCAGGTGCCCCTTAAGTAACTTTTGATTCAAAATAATCAATATGCCAGGTGGCACACTTTGAGATTGCCAGCCTTTGGCCCTTACCCTACAATTTTAAAAAGTTACTTGGGGGCCACCTGGGGGCTCAGTAGGTTGGGTGTCTGCCTCTTGATTTTGGCTCAGGTTGTGATCTCAGGGTTATGATATTGAGCCCCATGTTGGGCTCTGTGCTCAGTGGGGAGTCTGCTTGAGATTTTCTCCCTCTCCTTATGCCCCTCCCCTGCTTGGTTGTTCTCTCTCTCTCTAAAATAAATAAATAAAAATTTAAAAATTTATTTGTTTTTTCCCCCTAGTTTTAAACTCAAACCAAAAGATTATTTGCCTAACTCCCCAAATCATTTTCCTTTTCTACTCAACTTTACACAGAAGCAAAGGAGAGAATTATCTATTGAATTTTATTGAAGGTAAGCATTGGTTCTCTTATAGCTACCACCTCCTGCAAACACACAGGAGTTAGAATGTGTCTGAGAGGATAAATGTAGAATACAATTTTTGTACTGTCCACTCCCAATTAAAAGGGGAAAATGGACAAGGCATATTGAGCACACAGAAAACACTTATTGACCTAAAATTTCTGTTCATTTATGTGCTTTGTTATAGATTGCCTTTCTAATTTTACTAATAAAAAAAGTGGAGAATATTTAAGTCCCTATGAGCTAAATAAGAAAACTTGTTAAAACCTGAATAATCAACTTGAAGGCAAGTTTCTAAGTAACAGTAAATTTGACTGTGTTTTGTTCTTTATCATAAGCTGCAGGAGACCTCTTTTTGTGCCTCCCAGACATTCAGTATAAGGAGATAAGGACTCTGGTCTTACTATTTTACTAAAGAATCTGCCTTTACGCATCCTATATTAAGGCATGTATTAGCTTTAATATCTTGTAAAACATGTTTTGGAGAATTTCATAATGTCACAAACTTCTATTGTAGAATATAGTTCCAGCTTACAAATTGTTTCTGTTATTAATGACTCAAGTCATGGCAGACTGGCAAACCACAAGTAAAAAAATAGTAGTGTTTCTAACAGGATTTATTCACAGTGTAAAGTGCATATACTTCCCCTTGTCCTATTTAGTTATATTTTTTTGTTAAATCATGATTCAAAAAAATCATAATTCAGTATTAACATTATTATGATTATTTAATGTTCATAGCTGAGATATATAATAGAGTTGATCCTTGAACAACATGAGTTTGAGCTGCGCAGGTCTACTCATGCATGGATTTTTTTCAATAAATAATACAGATATTACTGTAAACATTTTCCTTATGATTTTTTAGTAATATTTCCTTTTCCCTAGATTACTTTATTGTAAGAATACAGTATGCAATACATATAACATACAAAGTATGTGTTAATCCAGCTGTTTTTGTTATCAGTAAGACTTGCAGTCAATGGTAGGCTGGAGGTAGCTAAGTCTTAGGGGAGCCCAAAGTTAGACTGCTGACTGGGAAAGTCGTGCCCTTAAGTTCTGCATTATTCAAGGATCAGCTGTATACTCTTATTATGCTTCCTTTGAAATACGATATTTTGTTTTATCCAGAGTTAATAATTACTTTATTTTGTTTGATTGATTTGTTTTCTTGTACCTCTTAGTAATTATTCTACCAGGCCCCTCCAGAGATGGAAAACCCTACTCCATAAGGTCAAAGGGATCAGGTAATCTTTTAGTTTAGTTTTTATTTTGTTTTTTATTTGAAGACATATTTCCTCTTGCCATCTATCCTTCTACTCTTATAAGGATTGATTGATCTTTAGGCCTGCTGCATAGATGTCATCCTGGAAATTCCTTTGCCTTTCTTAGATTCCCATTTACTGGATGCCATTCTACTGGTTTTGATCATTTAGGTTGTTTACAGTTTCTGGCTATTAAATAATGTTGTTACATACATTCTTATATATGTTTCTTCATGCACGTATTTCTATTGCATATATATTTAAGAGTGAACCTGCTGGGTCACAGATATGTTAAACTTGTGAACTTGGATGGAAAAATTACATCTTAAAAAAAATTACATCTTTATTTTCACTAACGTGAACTTTAACATCTCCTTCAATTATGAATGGAGGCAACAAAGCATAGCAGTATCAGCAGTACTTGTTTGACTGACAGAAATCATAGACCTTTTCCCAGCATATTACAATTCTTGCACATAATGTGAGATACTTTTTACTGTTTATGCTGATGCCTTTAGTTTCTGAACTTTCCTGAGTTTCTGCAGCACAAATTGGATTATATATTATTGGCTTCCCCCATGCATGTACTTATTACTAGTTTCATAATTCCTCCATTAGCTAAGCAAGTTTTATGTCCTTGTGGGTCCATATTTTTTTTATTCATTTAATTATTTATTTATTTATTATTTTTAAGGTAACCTCCAGCCCAACGTGGGGCTCAAACTTGTGACCCTGAGATCAAGAGTTGGATGCTCCACCAACTGATCCAGCCAGACACCGCATGTAATTATCTATTATCATTTTAGTGGGATTTCAGAATGTTGTGGAAAAGAACATTTTCATTCTGTCCTGTTTCCAAAGTGTTCTATATGGCTTTAAATTTTAACTGAATCTTGTAGTTATTCTTTTTTGAAACACTTTTTTTGAAGATTTTATCTATTTATTCATGAGAGACAGAGAGAGAGAGGCAGAGACACAGGCAGAGGGAGAAGCAGGCTCCGTGCAGGGAGCCCGATGTGGGACCCAATTCTGGGAACGCACCCTGAGCCAAAGGCAGATGCCCAACCACTGAGCCACCCAGGTGTCCCATATCTTTTTTCTATTGTTACTTATGTATACCTTTCATTATTTTAAATAGGCCAATCTTCATAGAGGTGTGTCTATGATATTAGTCTTTCCCGAGAACCAGCTTTTGATTTTATTGATCATTTCAATAAATGATCAATTTATCATTGTGTTTATTATTTCTTGCTTTTCTCTGTATTATTTTTTTCCCTCCGTCCTCTTAGGTTTGTTCTGCTCTCTCTCTCTCTCTGTAGCTTCAAAAATGAAACTCTTGGGGCACCTAGCCAGCTCATTTGGTACAGCATAGACTCTTTTTTTTTTAATAATAAATTTATTTTTTATTGGTGTTCAGTTTGCCAACATACAGAATTACACCCAGTGCTCATCCCGTCAAGTGCCCCCCTCAGTGCCCGTCACCCATTCACCTCTACCCCCGCCCTCCTCCCCTTCCACCACCCCTAGTTCGTTTCCCAGAGTTAGGAGTCTTCATGTTCTGTCTCCCTTTCTGATATTTCCTACCCATCTCTTCTCCCTTCCCTTCTATTCCCTTTCACTATTATTTATATTCCCCAAATGAATGAGACCATATAATGTTTGTCCTTCTCTGGTTGACTTATTTCACTCAGCATAATACCCTCCAGTTCCATCCACGTTGAAGCAAACGGTGGGTATTCGTCATTTCTAATGGTTGAGTAATATTCCATTGTATACATAAACCACATCTTCTTTATCCATTCATCTTTCTTTTTTTTAATTTTTATTTATTTATGATAGTCACACACAGAGAGAGAAAGAGGCAGAGACATAGGCAGAGGGAGAAGCAGGCTCCATGCACCGGGATCCCGACGTGGGATTTGATCCCGGGTCTCCGGGATCGCGCCCTGGGCCAAAGGCAGGCGCTAAACTGCTGCGCCACCCAGGGTTCCCTCCATTCATCTTTCGATGGACACCGAGGCTCCTTCCACAGTTTGGTTATTGTGGACATTGCTGCTATAAACATCAGGGACAGCATAGACTCTTATTCTCAGAGTTGAGTTCATGTCCCACACTGGGCGTGGGGCCTACTTAAAAAAAAAATAAAGATAAATATAAAGGGGATCCCTGGGTGGCTCATCGGTTTAGCATCTGCATTCGGCCCAGGGCATGATCCTGGAGTCCCGGGATCGAGTCCCACATCGGGCTCCCTGCATGGAGCCTGCTTCTCTCTCACCTGTGCCTGTGTCTCTGCCTCTCTCTCTCTCTCTCTATGTGTTTCTCGTGAATAAATAAATAAAATCTTTTAAAAAAAGATAAAAATAAATTTGAATAATATTTTATGCATTAGTTTGGCATATTTTTAAAAAATGTTTAATATAAATTTTCTTCATGATTCCATTTTAGATGCATGTCACGTGTTTTTATATTTATTGTGATTCAGTTTTAACTTTTTCATGATTTCCATTAAGAGTTTTTCTTTTTTTTTTAATTTTTATTTATTTATGATAGTCACACACAGAGAGAGAAAGAGGCAGAGACATAGGCAGAGGGAGAAGCAGGCTCCATGCACCGGGAGCCTGACGTGGGATTCGATCCCGGGTCTCCAGGATTGCGCCCTGGGCCAACGGCAGGCGCTAAACTGCTGCGCCACCCAGGGATCCCAAGAGTTTTTCTCATGAGTATTATAGCACCATTAAATAGTTTATTTTGCTGACATGGAAAACATCTGTGATATGTTGTCAAATGAGAAAAATCAGTGTATCACATACGCATGGTATGATTCTAATTTTAAAGACATGTTTTACAAGCACAGAAAAGATAATTCTGGAAGGATACATATATTAAATGTTAATATATATTTCTGTTAATATATATACTGTCATTACAGGCAATTATTTCCCAAACTGTTTGCAAAAAACATGCATAGCTCTTGTCCTCAGAAGAAAAATAAATGTTATAAAAGAAGAAAAAAAAGAGTTTCTCATGAACTTCTTGGCTATTTAGGGTTGTATTTTTAGTTTTTTAAATGTATGTTTTTGTTTGTTTTTGTTATCTCTTTTAGTGTTGATTTAAAAAGTCAACATGCATGTTTAATTTTTAATAACTTTAGAGTTAATAAGTAACATCATTCTTCCAACCAGTACATGGAGTTTTCAGGGCTTTAACTCCAGTCCTTCCCATCACACCATCTACTTTTCTATGTTATGGTTCTAAGGTATTTGGGTTTCATTTTTTAACTTCCCCTTTAAATGTTAACAGTATACATTTAGATTTTGCAAAGTTGGGGCACCTGGGTAGCTCAGTTGGCTGGTTAAGCATCTGGCTTTTTTTTTTTAAGATTTATTTATTTACTCATGAGAGACACAGACAGAGAGAGAGGCAGAGACATAGGCAGAAGGAGAAGCAGGCTCCTCTCAAGGAGCCTGATGCAAGACTTGATCCCAGATCCCAGAATCACAACCCAAGCTGAAGCCAGACGCCAAACTGCTGAACCACCCAGGTGTCCCAAGTGTCTGACTCTTGGTTTCAGCTCAGGTCATGATCTCAGGTTCATGAGATTGAACCTCACATCAGGCTCCACATTCAGCAGGGAGTAGGATTCTCTTCTTCTCCCTCTGCCTCTCCCCCCATTCACATGCACGTGCTCTCTAAATAATATATAAATCTTAAATTAAAAAGATTTTGTGAAGGCTTTACTCACCATTCCTTTTTGTTTGTTCTCTTTTGTGTTGTTTTCTTCTTGCAAAATCTTCATTTTAATATTTATGTCAGTGAGACTGTGAATAGTGAACAGCCACCATCTTTATGTGTCTAAAAATGCTATTATTTCTCTCATGCCTAAATACAAATTTAGCTGGATACATTTCTACCAAGTACCTCACCTCCTTCAAATCTTTGCTATAATGTTACCTCCTTAATGAGGTGACCCTGACAGCCCTTTAATAACAGTCAGCCCACCCCAGACCATCTCAATTCTCTTTCCTGTTTGGAGTTTTGTGGGGTTTTTTGAGAGAGAGAGTGTGTGTGTGTGTGAACATGTGTGCAAGCACGAGTTGAGGGGGGCAGAGGGAGGGGGAGAGAGAGCCTAGCATGGAGCCTGTTGCAGGGCCCAATCTCACAACCCTGAGATCATGATCTGAGCCCAAAACAAGAGTAGGAGGCTTACCTGAGCCATCGAGGCGACCTGAGGGCATGTCTATTTCATTTGCTATGTATCCCAATCATTTAGAAAAATGCCAGGCACAGAGAAGGTGTTGGGTTTTTAAAAAATAAATTCGTTGCACTTGCTGTGTCTGTTGAATGAATATAGAATTCTTTTTTAAAAATATTTTATTTTTTTAAAGATTTTATTTATTCATAGAGACACAAAGAATGAGAGGCAGAGACACAGGCAGAGGGAGAATCAGGCTCCATGCAGGGAGCCTGACGTGGGACTCGATCCTGGGTCTCCAGGATCATGCCCTGAGCGGAAAGTGGCGCCAAACCGCTGAGCCACCAGGGCTGCCCTGTCCCTAGAATTCTTGATTGACTTTTTTCTTCAGTACTTTGAAGATATTATTCCATTATTTTATTATACTATTATCTCATATCTTTTTTTCTTGAGAAAATATGTAGTTACTTTTTTATTGTTACTTAGTTGGTAGTTGGTAATCTATCTTTTAAGATTTTTCTCTTTGTGTTTTATGTTCTGCAGTTTCACTATAACTTGTCTAGCTGTTGATTTGTTTTTATTTATCTTGCTAAGTATTTGAGATAAATAAAATGACTTGAAGAGGGCAGCCCGGGTGGCTCAGTGGTTTAGCGCCGCCTTCAGCCCAGGGCATGATCCTGGAGACCCCGGATCGAGTCCCATGTCAGGCTCCCTGCATGGAGCCTGCTTCTCCCTCTGCCTATGTCTCTGCCTCTCTGCCATTCTCTCTCTCTCTTTCTCTATGTCTCTCATGAATAAATAAATAAAATATTTTTAAGAAATGGCTTGAAGATTTATTTCTAAAAATCTCAGGATGCCTGGGTGGCTCAGTGGTTGAGTGTCTGCCTTTATTTCAGGTCATGATCCTGGAATTTGAGGATCGAGTCCCACATTGGGCTTCCTACAGGGAGACTGCTTCTCTCTCTGCCTCTGTCTCCCTCTGCCTTCTCTCTGTATCTCTCATGAATAAATAAGTAAAATATTGAAAATAAATAAATATAAAAATAAAAATCTTAGTCATTATCTCCTCAAATATTGTCTGTCTCCCATTCTCTCCTTGAATCCCTAATAGATGTATGTTGGAATGTCTCATTTTCTCTACCATGTAACCAGGTTTTCTTTTGCTTTTTCTATTTCATTGTTTTGCTGTGTTGGATTCCAGGTGACATCTTCATATCTGTTTGCCACATCACTGATTCTTTCCTTGGCTGTATCTAGTCTATTGTTCACTTTGTCTATTAATTTTTAAATTTTTTTCAAAATTTAATGATACTATTTTAAAATTTCTTTTTGCAGTAATTGTAGCTTCTTCCTGAGGTGCCTCTCTCCTGGTTTCGTGGAGTTTCCTCACAGCATGGCCCCCAAGCGCCAGTCCTCACTTGAACCTCAAATGAAGAAACCGAGGCTGCTTCCTGCCCCCATGCCGGAGGAGATGTCAGCCTCTCAGCCCTTGCCGAACGGAGAAAAAGAACAGCAAGAAGTAATTGAACATATTGATGAAGTACAAAATGAAATAGACAGACTTAATGAAGAAGCCAGTGAGGAGATTTTGAAAGTAGAACAGAAATATAACAAACTCTGCCAACCATTTTTTCAGAGGAGGTCAGAATTGATCCCCAAAATCCCCAACTTTTGGGTAACCACATTTGTCAACCATCCACAAGTGTCTGTACTGCTTGGGGAGGAGGATGAAGAGGCACTGCATTATTTGACAAGAGTTGAAGTGACAGAATCTGAAGATATTAAATCGGGTTACAGAATAGATTTTTATTTTGATGAAAACCCATACTTCAAAAATAAAGTTCTCTCCAAAGAATTTCATCTGAATGAGAATGGTGATCCATCTTCAAGGTCCACTGAAATCAAATGGAAATCTGGAAAGGATTTGACGAAACGGTCAAGCCAAATGCAGAATAAAGCCAGCAGGAAGAGAGAGTACGAGGAACCAGAGGGCTTCTTCACCTGGTTTACTGACCATTCTGATGCAGGTGCAGATGAGTTAGGAGAGATCATCAAAGATGATATTTGGCCAAATCCATTACAGTACTACTTGGTTCCTGATACAGATGATGAAGAAGATGATGATGATGATGATGATGAAGAAGAAGGATTGGAAGATATTGATGAAGGAGATGAGGATGAAGATGATGATGAAGATGATGATGATGATGATGATGATGATGATGAGGGGGAGGAAGGAGAGGAGGATGAAGACGATGATGATTAATGGAATACTGATGGATTCCAACCTTCCTTTTTTTAGTTTTCTTCAGTCCCTGGGAGCAAGTTGCATCCCTTTTTTTTTTCCTCCTCCTCTTGTGTTCATTTGCCCTGTTTTTTGAAGTCTTTTCTCTCTCTTTATACCATGGTTCTCAACCTATTTTGAGGGGAAATATCTTGAGCAGAATACAGCAGGAAAAGAATCTCTACCCCTCTCTGTTCCAAATTCATTTTTATTCCTTTCTGTCTCAACAAAAACTTTATAGAATCAACACCACCGTGCTCTGTGGGAAAAAAGAAAAACCTTCTGCTCTCTTAGCTCTGCTGAAAGTTGGAGGGTGCTAGGCCCGTGTAGTAGTGCATAGAATTTTAGCTTTTTTTCTCCTTTCTCTGTATATTGGGCTCAGAGATTACACTGTGTCTCTATGTGAATATGGACAGTTAGCATTTACCAACATCTACCTGTCTACTTTCTCTTGTTTAAAAAAAGAAAAAAAAACTTTAAAAAATGGGGTTATAGAAGGTCAGCAAAGGGTGGGTTTGAGATGTTTGGGTGGGTTAAGTGGGCATTTTGACAACATGGCTTCTCCTTTGGCATGTTTAATTGTGATGTTTAACGGACATCCTTGCAGTTTAAGATGACACTTTTAAAATAAAACTCCAAACGATGACTTGAGCCCTGCCACTCGATGGGAGAATCAGCAGAACCTGTAGGATCTTATTTGGAATTGACATTCTCTATTGTAATTTTGTTCCTGTTTATTTTTAAATTTTTTTTGTTTCACTGGAAAGATGCTCAGTTTTAAACGTTAAAAGTGTACAAGGTGCTTTGTTAAAATAAAACTAAATGTGTACACAAAAAAAAATAAATAAAATTTCTTTTTGGGTATTTTTCAGATCCATCTGTCTTAATATTTTAACTTTTTTTGATTTTTAAAAAAGATGTACGAATGTATGTATGAGAGACGGCATAGAGGAGAGGGCCAGTCCTGAGCAGACTCCCCACTGAGCGTGGAGCCTGACTCAGGGCTCCATCTCATGACTTCAAGATCTCGACCTGAGGCAAAACAAGAGCTGGATGCTCAACAAACTGTGTCACCCAGGTACCCCTTACTTTTTTGTTTCATAATTCCTATTCCTTCCTTTTTCCAGAAGCTCTTTTAGATTGCTTTATTATCTCTGGTTCCTCATGTATAAATTGTCTCATTTGTTGCATCTTCTGGCTCTTTCCTTAAGGCAATTAATTTCCCGATGTGGTCTGTCATCTTGGTGGTGAGTCCATCCTCAGTGTGCTTACTCTCTGTTGAAGTGTCGTGTTTGGGCATGCCTATATTCTTACAGAGAAGTTGCATGTTTATCTCTATTGGGCTGCACGATTCCCACCAGTTCAGATCTGTTTTACTATTATTTTTATTGGTACTGCTGTTTCTTTTTACTGCAACTATCGTTTTATTGTTACTATCATTTATTGCTAGACTGTGGGATCCTGCACTTTGCAGGTGTTAGGAATTTAAACCCCACTCCTGAGCACCTCTGGGCACGAGGTATCCTTGGTATTGCATCCACCTCTTGCGTTATCATCCATGCTAGGATTCTGTTTTCCTCTTCAATCTCTTCTGCTTTTGGTCTTCCCAACTTAATTACTTGAGATTAGGTTTATGTTCTAGACAAGATAACAGTTTATTTCTTTATGCTATAAAGTCAGAAGACATGAAGTCCAAGGTGAGTATGGTGGTTTTGTGTTCATCAGGGATACACCCTTGGTCTTTATTGTTGCTCTGCCATTCTTAGCCTGAGGCTTTTGCCTCATAGTCCAAAATAGCAGCTTGAGTTCCAGCCACTTGATTTGTAATCCAGCCAAAAGGAAGAAAGCAAGGTGAACATGTCCTTTCTTTTAAGGGACACATAACCACTTCCACTTAGATCACTTGTCAAGGACTTACTCTGTAAAGGAGGTTCGGAAATGTTTTTACTAGGCAGCCATCAATGCTGTTTTTATTCAAGACAAAAGGAGAGATGGGACAATGGGGGATAATTAACAGTTTTTATCGCAACCATTAAATTGTAAACCACTTTAGAGTGAGGATCCCTTCTGTACCTTTTATAAAAATCAGTGCTCACAAGGAGCTCAATAAAAATCTCTTAATAATGATGATTAATGGGATCCCTGGGTGGCGCAGCGGTTTGGCACCTGCCTTTGGCCCAGGGCACGATCCTGGAGACCCGGGATCGAATCCCACATCGGGCTCCTTGCATGGAGCCTGCTTCTCCCTCTGCCTGTGTCTCTGCCTCTCTCTCTCTCTCTCTCTCTATCATAAATAAATAAATTAAAAAAATAATGATGATTAATCCTTTCAGCAAACAATTTATTTAGAACCTATTTTATGCCAAGGACTGTATTAGACATTGGAGCTACCAAAATGAAATGAACACAGGAAACAGTAGCTTTAAGCATTTATTTGAACCATTAACAAAAGTTATAAGGCAGAATAGAGGGAAGAGATTCCAGGCAAAGGGGACAGTTTATGCAAATTATCAAAGGTATGAAACAGCATTTCATGTTAGGAACTGCTAGTTGTCCGGTATACCTAGACCAGTGGTCTTGACTGCGCAGTTTTGCCCTTTAGGGAACATTTAGCAAAGGCTGAAGAATGTTTTTGGTTGTCACAACCAAGGGAGTGCTACTGGCATCTGGTAGATAGAAGACAGATGCTGCTAAAATTTTACAATATGTAGGTTGTGAACCTTACAAGTAAAACAGCCAATTATTTTACCAGCAAATGGGTTTATTCAGGAATAGCAGAGTAATTGCAGTTTGAGATAAGCAAGCTATAGGAAAAGCCATGGGCAAGTTCAGAGAACAAAGGAGAACAACACTCTTTTACAGAGGAAAGAGGAGAGTTGGGAGGGGCTGTTATAAACAAAAAGTCCATTGGAGTAAACTAGTAATTTAAAGCTTAATGTAGGTTTCTTTTAAAGACTTATTTGAGAGAAAAAAATGAGCAGGAGGGACAGAGGGAGAGGGAGAGAGAATCTTAAGCAGACCCCTTCATTGAGCACAGAGTGTGATGCAGGACTCGATCTCATGACACAGAGATCAGGACCTGAACAGAAACCAAGAATTGAATGTGTTTAAGTGACTGCACCACCCAGCTGCCCCTGATGTTCAAATATAGAATCTTCCTCCTGCTGGAGTAGTAAACTAATATGATTAGCAAGGTGCATCTCTTCCTGTTGAGGTCCATAATTGGTGTGGAGTGGTAGTGCATGAGGGATTCCCCTTCTGGCTTCTTGACTCTTATTTTATTTTTTAAAGTTTTATTTGTTTGGGGATCCCTGGGTGGCGCAGCGGTTTGGCGCCTGCCTTTGGCCCAGGGCGTGATCCTGGAGACCCGGGATCGAATCCCACGTCGGGCTCCCGGTGCATGGAGCCTGCTTCTCCCTCTGCCTGTGTCTCTGCCTCTCTCTCTCTCTCTCTATCATAAATAAATTTAAAAAAAAAGTTTTATTTGTTTAAGTAATCTCTATACCCCATGTGGGGCTCAAACTCGACTCCAAGATCAAGCCTGATTCCATTTTATTCTATTTTTAATTTTATGTATTTATTAATGAGAGACAGAGAGGCAGACACAGGCACAGAGAAAAGCAGACTCCCCACAGGGAGCCTGATGTGGGACTCGATCCCAGGACCTCGGGATCACGCCCTGAGCTGAAGGCCGATGCTCAACCGCTGAGCCACCCAGGTGTCCCAAGCCTGATTCCAGTTTAAATGAGGTTTCCCTATAATCTCACATATATACATTTTCTTTATCCACGCATCTGTTGATGAACATTTAGGTGGTTTCCACAGATTGGTTGTTATGAATAGTGCTGCAGTAAACATAGGAGTGCTAATCTCCTTGAGATATTTTTAATAAATTTTACTTTATGATTTTATTTATTTGTGAGAGACACACAGAGAGAGAGGCAGAGACACAGGCAGAGGGAGAAGCAGGCTCCATGCAGGGAACCCGATGTGAGACTTGATCCCAGGACTCCGGGATCATGCCCTGAGCCAAGAGCAGACACTCAACTGCTGAGCCACCCAGGCATCCCTCTCTTTGAGATCTTGATTTTCATTTTCTTGGATACATACCCAGAAGTAAGTTTTCTGATCATATGGTAGTTCTATTTTAATTTTCTAAATAACTTCCATACTGTTTTCCTTACCAGCTACATTGGCAGTGTACAAGGGTTCCAGTTTCTCCACATCCTTGCCAATCAACACTTGGTGTTATTGGTGTTAATAGCTATCCTAACAGGTTTGAGGTGATATTATGGTTTGATTTGCATTTTCCTGATGATTAGTGTTGTTGTGTTTCTTTTTATAAATCTTTTGGCCATTTGTGTATCTTTGATAAATGTCTAATCAAGTCATTCGCCCATTTTTTAGTTGGGTTATTAATTTAGATGTGGTTTTTTTACTATTGAGTTATACAATTTCTTTATATATTTTGGAAATTTACCATTTATGAGATATAGTTTGCAAATATTCTCTCCCATTCCTTCCTTAGGTAGCTTTTTCACCCAGTTGATGGTTTCCTTTGTTGTACAGAAGTCTTTGAGTTTAATGTAGTCCCACTTGTGTTTATCTTAATTTTTGATGCCTGTCCTTTTAGTGTCATACCCATGAAATCGTTTTTAAGACTAATGTCACGATGTTATCTCCTATATTTTCTTTTAGGAGTTTTACAGTTTCAAGTCTTATATTTAAGTCATTAATCATGTTGAGTTGATTCTGTGTATGGTACAAGATAGAGGTCCAATTTTAATCTTTTGCACGTGGCTGTCCAGTTTTCCCAACAACACTGGGAACACTATCCACTCCCCATTGAGTATTTTTGGCACCCTAATTCAGTAAAGTTGCAGGATACAGAATTGACATATATAAAAATCAGTTGCATTTCTATATGCTAACAATGACCTATCTGAAAAGGAAATTAGGGAAACAATCCCATTTTATGATACCATCAAAGAAATAAAAACTCACGTATACACTTAACTAAGGAGGTAAAAGACTTGTACACTGAAAACTACAAAACACTGATACTGATGAAATTGAAGATACAAATAATTGGAAAGATATCACATGGTAATGGATTGGAAGAATATTGTTAAAATATCCATATTATCCAAAGCAATCTACAGAGTCAGTGCAATCCCTATTAAAGTCTCAGTGGGGGTGCCTGGCTGGCCTAGTTGGTGGAGCATGTGACTCTTGATATCAGGGTTGTGGGTTTGAGCCCCACATTGAATGTAGAGATTACTTAAAATCTTTTTTTTTAATAAAATCTTTTTTTTAAAAAAACCTGGCAGACACATTAAGACTGATGGAACAAAATAAAGAGGCCGAAATAAAAACAATTATTTGTATTTTGTCAATCTTGTTTCAACTATCACTGAAGGATTTTAGACAGCAGAGTTGAATGATGAGATTTGCATTTTAGAGGCAGTTTCCAGGATGAATTATAGGGGAATGAGACAGTGAAGAGAGCCAAAATATAACAGTCTCAAATTCCTTACTTCCCACTGCCTTTTGAACTCACTTCAATAGAGTTCACCCTGCTTCCAAGCCTCAAGATCCATACTTGCCAGGGTCATCGATGGCCTCCCTTCCTGCTGTCAAATCCAGTGGTGAGTACTTACCTTACTGGACCTCTCAATGGCATCTGGCTTAGTCAATCACTCTGTCTTCCTTACCACACTTGTTTCCCTTGGCTTCTGGGACACCAAACTCTCCTGATTTCTCTTTGATCTCAAAAGTCCTTGCCTTCTGCTGGCTCCTCTCCATCATCTAGAATGTGGAGGTTGGAGAGCCGTGGGGCTAGGGCCATCAACTGCCTCTCTGTGCATTCATT